TTATTATTATTATTATTATTATTATTATTATTATTATTATTATTATTATTGTGTTGTGGTGATGGTGGTTGTTGTTGTTGTTATTACTATTATTATTAGGGACTGGATATACGTTTTTTTAAGGGGAAAGACTTCCTCTGAAAGTGAGAGCACTCACTGCGTGACTCATCACATGCTAACACCGGAGGATGAGGCACACCAGAGTCTGGGGACAAAAACAACAAAATGGCAGAGCCTTAACTAGGTCAAAATTTCTACTGTTGCTTTTACTTGTGGCGAAGAAAGTAGAACAAATAGAGTTGAACCATCCTTTGCTCCACTGCCACGAGGGTTTCCGGCTGTCATTTCACCTGTCCAAGTTATTCTTAGATTTGTTGATTCTGCTCTCGGGATGGATTCTGGCAGGAGAGGGCACGTATTAGCCAAGGCTTTACCACTGAGCTACTCCCTAGCCCGTGACCTGAACTTCGTTCTACTTATAGAACCTCTAGACCCTTCTCCCTGATCCTCTTTAGCGATGCCACTACCATCCTTTTCAGTTGTTCATAACCTCTGATTCTTCCCAATGAGTGAACAAATGCAGAATCAGTGTATCAAAGTAAAAAATTCAACAATAGTCAGGGAAACTAACAGTTTTATTTAGCATTCCCAAGCTTACTCGCTCTCTCTCTCTTGCTCTCTCTTTCTCTCTCTCTCTGAGACTGGGACAGGCCTGAACCCCCACCCCCAAAAGTCATCAGTCCCAGGAACTAGGCCATAGGTCACCAATTCCAGGAACAAAACCATCAAATCCCCTACCCAAGGAATAGCCTAGAAATAACCAGAAAAATGGGAAGCTATCTTATCTCAGTGTGGAGTGTCTGTGCTGGGCAGCCTTATCTTCAGGAATGCAGCCCACCAACCACCTGGATGTTAGCCAGTCAGGAGTTGACCCTTTTAACTTTCCTGGCCCTCACCAGTTTGGGCCGGTTTGAACAAGTTTAGAGAATCCCCCCAACCCCTAATCAAGCCCTTGCTAGCTCTTGCTTTTGACTTGCGGTAATCACAGTAAAGATGACCTAACTGTCCCCGAAATGCCCCTGCGCACCTTTGTCTAGGGTTGCCATTCTGCCTGGATGGTGGCCCCGGCATACTAGTCTTCTGCAAAATAAACACCTTTCTTTTTTTTTTTTTTTTTTTTTTGCTTGCATGCTACTTGAGTCTACGGTTGTTCTTTCAGTGTGTTCTAGACCCTAACAGTCTCACTATGTGACTTTGGCTGTCCTGGCACTCACTGTATAGATGACGCTGGTCTTGAACTCACAGAGCTCCACCTTCCTCTTTGCCTCAGTGCTAGAATTAAAGGTACCACCACACCCAGCTTCATTATCAAGCTCTCAGCTTCCTTTTTTTTTTTCTTACATAATGGAGGTCTACAATCTGAGAAAGAGGGAATGTTTCTTTAAGCTTATCTGCATGATACTGCACTTAGTGAGACAGGTATAATCTCAGCACTTGGGAAGCAGAGACAGAAAAATTGTCGTAAGAACAAGGCCAATTTGGGCTATGTAGTAAATTGTTTGTTTGTTTGTTTGTTTAGTTTGGTTTGGTTTTTCAAGACAGGGTTTCTCTGTGTATTACAGCCCTGGATGTCCTGGAACTCTCTCTGTAGACCAGGCCAGCCTAGAACTCACAGAGATCTGCCTGCCTCTGCCTCTCAGGTGCTAGGATTAAAAGCATGCACCACCACACCTGGCTTATAGTAATTACACCCTGTCTCATAAAGCAAAAGGTAAGAGAAAAACATCACCACCCCCAACAACAAAATATTGTTTTTAGGAGCTAAAGGGATGAGTCAGTGGTTAAGAGTGCTCTTCCAAAGACCCAAGTTCAGTTCCCAGCATTCATATTGGACTGCTCACACCCACCCATCTGTTACTCCAGTTCCATAGAATCTAATGCTATGCTCTGCCCTCCACAGGCACCCACACATATGGCAAACACATACAGAGATATATACACATATACACAAATAATAAAAATATCTTTTCTAAAAGCTTGTTATTTACATGATGGCACTCTGTAAGGCATAAAACATGCTCCAAGTCTATACTGAGAATGGAGACGATAGTACTAAAGATTAGAATTCATTTCCTGGGATCCAGATGTGGTGACTCATGACTTTAAAAACAGCACTCAGGAGGCTGAGGCAGTAGATCTTGGTGATTTCAAGGCCAGCCTGGTCTACAAAGCAAGTCCTGGACAGCCAGAGCTCTTGATACACACAGAACCCTGTCTTGAAAAATAAAACAAAACAACAACAACAAAAAAAGCATTCATTTCCCGAACCCGAGGACTTAAGAGGAAGCAAGCAGGATTGACTGGCTTATGGGAAAGGACAAAATACAAAAAAGTTTGTATTTTCACAGAACTACCAGCACTGGCCTTCACCTGCTGAGAAGTAATGGGAGGGAGAGCAAGATAGAACCAAAGCAGACACACTGTCTTCTCTCATCCCATCACCACTATATCTGTTCTAGAAAGATCCTCCCTTCCTCAGGCTGAAGAGAGAACTGAAGGCATCACACCTGCTAGGCTTCATTCCCCAAAGATGTCATCTTTAAGAATAAGGGGTCCCGGGGCTGGAGAGATGGCTCAGCAGTTAACAGCGCTTTGCTACTCCTGCAGAGACCCAGGGCCGATTCCCAGCACTCACACAGTCATTCCTAACTATCAGTAAGTCCGGTTCCAGGGGATTCAATGCTTCCTTGTGACCTCCTCAGGTACCAGGCAGGCATGTGGTGCACACACACACACATACAGACAAAACACACACATAAAATAAAAGAAGTAAATCTGAAAATTAAGTATTATTAAAAAAAAAAAAAAGAGTAAAAGGCCCTGGGACTGGAAAGATGTTAACAGTGCTAGCTGCTCTTAAGAAGACTAGGGTTAAGGTCCCAGAACCTGTACCAGGAAGCTTGTAACATCCTGTAACTCCAGTTTAAAAACAGCCAAGACCATCTTTTACCCTCTTCAGGCACTTGCCCTCACATGAGCTCATGCCCAGATTTTCCAATGAAACTCAATATTTCTCACCATCTGAATAGCTAATGGTTGACAAAGGCCACCCATTATTAGAAGGCTGAAGTTCTTCCATTTCTACCCCACGTTCTTGTAAAACCCATCCGACTCTGAGTTGGTCTTGAATACAGTAAAAATGACAGAGTACCACTTCCTTGATCAAGCCGGATAGCACTCTCTCATCTTGTTATTTCTTGCCATCGTTGATGAAGCAAGCAGCTATGGTAATAAGGTCCATGTAGCCAATACCCAGAATCCAGAAACTGAATACTGCCAAGAAGCAGATGAGCTTAGAAGTAGTTCTTTCCATAGCAGACCCCAAACCTGGTCAAAATCTTGATTCTAGCTTTATGAGGGATCCTGAATGACAAGGGTATGGCATGCCCAGACTACGATCCCACAAAGACAATAGATATGTGTAGACTAAGAGTATGGAAACATATAAAATAGCAGTAGATAACAAACACAAGTATCTTTGGAGCAGAATTATTCTGGTTTAATTTTTAGAACCCTTTGGCTGATTACAAAAATGAGAGTTTGTACTCACTCGGAATGAACTTGATACGCAAAAATCCACTGGTACCCTTCAGTGTTATACAGGGCTCAGCACTAACTGAAAAAGGGAATTTCATGTCATCTAAAAGAAGTAAGGAAAATGTTAGTACATCATTATAAACAACATTCAATAAAGGTAGCATTCTGAATATCAGCCCCCAAAAGGTGTTGTGTGTGTGTGTGTGTTAAAATTATATAATGAGAACAACTGAAGATTGAAAACATCTCTCTCTTCAGAAGAGTGACAGCCGCAGCATAAGTCAAATGAGGACCTAGGTTTATCCCCTCAAGTACAAAGTCCATGTGTGAAAGCAGAAAGTAGTAAAAAGACTCCAGTACCTGCAGACACACAAATTGTACTCACCAGCATTACTACAGAGATTCAGGACACCCTCTCTTTAGAGTCCCTTATCCCAGGACAACCACACAATTAGAAAGTGGCTTCCCGACTTCCAGCTTCACCTACGTGCCCGCTACCCTAGCATTTCCAACCCAGCTCCCCAAAAGACTGAATTCCAGGCTGTTCATCTTGAGATTCTAATAGTCTGGCACAGCCTAGCTACACAAGAAAGACCAAAAACAGTAGTCTGAGCTGACAGACAGTACATCCTGGTTCTTCCCTGCACTCAGCATGTACAAAGATGGAAACTCCCAACTCCCAGCTTTTCCATGAACGTGAATTTTAAGGCTAGTCTGGGCTAGCCTGCACTACAGAGTGAGTCCTAGGTCAGATTGGGTTACAGTAAAACCGTGCTTCAAAAAACAAACAAGGAGCTGGAGAGATGGCTCAGAGGTTAGGAGCACTGGCTGCTCTTCCAGAAGTCCTGAGTTCAATTCCCAGCAACCACATGGTGGCTCACAACCATGGGATCGGATGCGCTCTTCTGGTGTGCATGAAAACAGAGCGACCCACTCCTTACTGCTATCACAGTGACAAATAGATTTTGACATGAGTTTGGCAGAGAATATACAACCATAGCGCTTCTTCAGCAAGCCAAGGAGAATCCAAATGTGCCAAAATCTTGATTTTGGATTCCAGATCAGTCCAAAACAAATGTTTCTTGCCTAAGCATGCTCCCCCACCCTACCCCCACTAGTGATTCATTAAGACAAGCCAAAATAACTATGCCTGCCCAGATAAGAATCTCTCTTCTCTTTCTTGGAAATGTCCTCACAGTCAGGACTGACTTAGCCATCACTGTCGCCAATACTCGAATACTGATTCTAGAGAAACCAATGCTTTCATGGGTAGGTGTGGACTTGGTATAGACATGGAAAGTGTGTGTTTTCCGTAGAGAGGACTCTCAAGGCTGAGGACTGACAATGCTATTCTGGCAACCTGCAGGGTCATAAGGTAGAGAGCCCTTGTTGCTTTCTTCCAGCCTCGTGTCAGGGGGTTCCAGGGAAAGTCCACAGGATTTATCAGTGTTACAGAACAAAGGGTCAGGTGCAACCTCAGAAAGCCTCATCAAAAGCCAAAGGAAGCCAGGTGCGGTAGCCTATGCTTTTAGTCCCAGCACTCGGGAGGCAGAGGCAGGCAGGTGTCTGTAAGTCTGGGGCCAGCCTGTTCTACATACCAAGTTCTAGGACAGCCAGGGCTACATAGAGAGACTCTATCTCAAAAAAAGAACCAACCAAACAAAGCCAACGGAAACTAATTGATTAATAAAAGAGTAAAGCTGAATAATATTAATTATACAGTACTAATTAGGCATGTCACCAAGCAGTACCAAAAGACGTAGACTAGGGACTACACAGGGCTCAGTGGTTAAGAGCACTGTCAGAGGATCAAGATTCACTTCCCAGCACCATATCAGGCAGCTCAAAGCAGCCTGTACCTAGGGTTCCAGAGAATCCAATGCCCTCTTCTGGCTTCTGAGGGTACCAGAACACACCCACATACACGAAAATAAATAAGCTGATAAAGTAGGGGGCTGAAAAGGAGAGGAAAACAGGTCAGCAGAATGGGGACCTTCCTAATGCCCTAGAGGTGAATGGTCAGAGTGTTTCACAAGTCAGTCCCCCAAAAGAACCCACTGGAAAATGCTGTGATTACAGAGGCTTCTTTACCACCGAACTCCGGGACTTCTCATAGTGCACTGATAAAGTCCCTGCTCCAATTTAAGATGATTAGGCTTTGATCCAGCTGTTAAAAGAATTGGCATTTTGGAAGGCATCACCTTCCAGCCATGCCGATACTGCTAGAGGGGGCAGAAAATGGACAACCTACCAAGCAATCAACAGAAAGAGAAAAACAAATGGAACCAACTATCAACCCCAGTGCTAGGTCTTCAGATCCCAGACATCCGTTAATAAGAAGGTATGGAGTGGCAACAGCCTTAGCTATGATTCAATAGTGCCAGAGTTTAGTGCAACTGAAAAATATCTGCAGTTCCAGCATCGGAGAGGTTGAGGCAACGAGAACAGGAATTTGAGGCCAGCATAATAAGTTCCAGTCAGCCTGTTACAGAATAAGGCCCTGTCTCAAAAATAAGCAAATAACTCGAGGCAAGGGCAGGTGGATCTCTGTGAGTTCCAGGCCAGTCTGGTTTATAGAGCAAGTTCTCGGCCAGCCAGCACTGCCAGCCTGTCTGAAAAAGTCATAATAAAGTAAGGTGGGTGTGGTGACACATGCCTTTACTCCCAGGAGGTAGAGACAGGCAGGAAATCTGTGATTTCCTGGCCAGTCTGATCTATAAAGTGAGTTTCAGGCCAACCACGGCTACGTAGGGAGACTCCGTCTCAAAACAGATTTTGATATAGGGTAATAATAATAATTATCCAAAATCATTATTACTCTGAACTCTAAAATCACTTTTTTTTTTTTTACAAGTTTAAAAAAAAAAAAAAGTGAGGCAGTACTTTGCCCGAGGTCACCCAGCTGGTGAGGAGGAGAGATGCTTTTAAGAGCCCTCTAGGACCAGCAGTGGGAGCAGAAAACCCCACCAGGAAGCAGCTAGGGTTCTACCTTTTCAGGAAGAACCGGTCTGTGTTTGGGCTGGGACTCAGGAGCCAACAGTTCTATTAGAACTGAAACAGGGCTCCGAGTGGAAAGAGCAAGAGCCGACCACAGAAACTCAGGGAGGTAAAAACAAACAATTCAGGTACGGGGGTGGAGGGAGGGACGTGGGGGTTGAGAGGGGAGAGAAAATCCGCACCCGGAATTGGTCTGCATTCTCCACCTCCCACCCCACCTTCACCCCCACCCCCACCCCACCTCCTCCCCGAGGCTGGGACAGCCGAGGCTTTCCCGCCAGTGTCCAGCTTCGGGCTCAGTGAAAACTTTCTCTTAAAATAGTTGGCGCCGCAGTTCTCTGTTGCCGAGTCACTTACCACAGTAACTGTAGGAAAAGGTTGCGTCGGAGGAGTTGCAGACCCACTGTAGCTCCTCAGATTCAGTAAACTCGGGAGAAAGCAGCGTAGAAAAGAGAATAAATGGCAACATGATTAAACACTTCCGACACTTTAAGCAAGGAAGATCATCGGACTCCACGGTAAGGAGGAAAGATTTAACTTAGTCACCAGTCATGTGATTTCGAAGTTCCCATCCAACTGTTTCCTCTTTTTATTTTATGTGACTGTTTGTGCATTTGTTTTCATATGTGAGCACTTCCTGCAAGGCAAGAGAGGAAAAAAAAAAATGACCTAGAACACACTGTTCCTGAACACTTAATGTAGATGAAAGTAACCAGCACTTTAAAAGAGCAAGTTTTCAGTGAGAGCAACTGCCCCACAGGAAACCCTGTCTTAAAAGAAAGTCCACTGGTCGTAGTGGCGCACGTCTTTAAACTCAGCACGTGGCAGGCGTTTCTCTGTGAGTTCGAGGACAGCCTGCTCTAGATAGTGAGTTCCAGGACAGCCTGAGTTACATAGGGAGACCCTCTGTAGAGAAAGAAAGTCTGCCGATCTCTTAAGAGGAGATGCACTACTTTTTATGTACAAGCTATTGTCTCCCACAAGCTCGTCATACAAAGGTTTCTCCTGGCCTAGAAAGCTTCATCTAGCTAGCTAAGCTGACTGGTCTCTCTCTCTCAAAAACGATTTCGACTCAGAAACAGATTCAACCACAAAATAGGCAGGCTCGATGACACCCCCACGCAGGGACGACACCCCCACGCAGGGATGCCAGCTGTAATTCCCAGTGGGGACCTTACCCGCGTTGAGAATACCTTCAAAGGGGGTTGAGCTTGAGGCAGTGGTGTTGAGGTGGGGTAGCTCTTTCCCTGAGTAGCATTTTGAGGTAAAAACGTGAGTCCCAATAAGAAAAAGTGATGGTTTTGTTCTGGTGTGGATTTCATTTCAAGAGTCTCTTTTGGAAAGACTCTCTTTTCCTTCAGCTGCATTATTACTTCAAATCTTTT